GAGCCCAAACAAAGCAGTGCGACCAGAAGCATGGGCAGGAAAGCTAGGGAACGGCTGGGAAATTGTCCAGGAACCGGACTGAATAATCCAAGAGACAGTCCTGTACTGCAGCCCCTCTCTGGTGTCACATCAGAGAGTTTTCCCTCTTCACCAGATGAACTGGTGGCAGCTTGGTCCCGGGCTGCTGGGTGCGGTCATTGCCTGGCCCCTGAGATTGTGAAGGCAGGAAGGAGACTGGTCAGTGGAACTGGGTACCCCTCCAAGAAGACAGGGATTTCTAGATGGATTTCTAGGTGGTTGCCACAGGAAGGGAGCAGAATGTGATGTGCTCCAGGGGGATTGTGGCAGCAGCCCTTCTGCTCAGGTTAGCATCATCTTCTAAAACAAACATGCCCGCTACCAGAGAACATTTGGCCAGCATCCTCCACCCACAGAGCTTCCTCAGCAGACAGTTCTCAGACACCCTCGAACTAATTGACTTCAGAGGTTGTCATGGGGTCAGTGGGCCGTGGAGTAGCTAAGAGGGGAACAGGAGAGGTGGCTTCAATTAGGGCTGGGTTGAGAATGATTGGCAGAGTCATAGGCGGCACTCCAACCTGCAGGGGAGAGGCAAGAGGCTGCAGGATGAGCGGTGGCTGTGCTGTCGTAGGAGGTATGTCTGTAACGGGGCTTGTCTTTGTTGGAGCTGATGCTGGGAAAGAAGGAGAGGCAGAGGTGCTGATGGTGGGTGAGGCAGGTGCAGTGGCTCTCTCAGACTCTGGAAAAAGGAAGAGACAAAATACATCCTTACACAGGCCTTGACGAAGCCACCTTTCAGCTCAAAGCTAAGCAGGGCTGAGGATCGACTCAGGGGCCTTTGCAGATTTGCCCCTTCCACATACCTTCATATGAGGCCCTGAGGAGCAGGTGCCGATCACAGGCATTCTGCCCCAACCTCTGCCCACCCCAATAACCTCAGCAAGAAGGCCACAACCTATCCATTTGGAAGCACAACAGTCCCACAACACCAGAGGCCTGGTCGCTGTTGATCATGCTAAACCAAGCAAAAGCAGATCCAAACCACTGTACTGGGAAGATGATTCCAAAAAGAAGAAATGGGACTCACCACTGGCACCCAGTTCACAGGGCTTCTCCAAAGGAGCCAGGTGGGTGGCTGGTCTCACATCCCCCACAGGAGAAGGGGGCAGGGCAGACACTATTGATTTCTGCTGCTGCTGCTCCATTGGTACGCTGGGGACAGGATCTAGGAAAACAAAACAAGCAGTGAGTCCACACACCAGTTTGCTCACTCCTTTTGCCCACTCTCAATTTGCCCTCCTTGTGCCGAGCTCCCACAGGCTCCTGCAACTATCATTTCATCAGCATCCAGGCACGACGGCAGCTGGGTACTACACAAGGTGCAAGCACTGGGTCCAAGACCTCTTTTCTTAAGGTTTCTCAGCCCCTCCTACCTTGGATGACTGTCTGTTTGAACAGCTCATCCCGCAGCCTAGGTAAGAAACAGTCAATGCGTTCCCAGGTGATCTCCCAGAGATCCGAGTATCCTGTCCGCGAGTCAGCACTGTGGAATATCCCAGCCGTATCCATTACAAGCAGCATATTCTTCAGAGACTCTGGGATGGCCTCCAGCTGTAATCAGAGACACTCCTCAGGACACAGGAAATGAACATATAGCAATGAACAAAAGCTCAAAACAACCAATGGGCTGCCTTGGAAACAGAGGCCACGGGGAGAGACCATGGAACAAAATGGTTTTGGAAGTATTAAAAGAGTTAAAAAACCCACAAAACCAAACAAAACAACCCCAAACCAAAACACCTTTCAAGTTTAGGAGGTTAAAACCAATGAACGGTTGTTCAAAGCACTGCAGTAGCATGACTTTCAGCACCTTACCAGTAAGTCACTGGAGCCAGCGTGCATGTATTTGTCCATAAAGTCCAGGATTGTCAGCCACAGGGCAGCAAAGGTGGTCAGTGAGAGCAGTGGGGAGAGATGCTGTAGGAACACCTAGAAGAAAAAACACAACTACTGTCAACAAGTAGTACCAGGGCTGCTGCTCACAGCTGGACGAGCCAGTCTCGAAAATCTGGAATTCCCCCTCCTTGTGGCAGACCGGGAGCATGCACAGGCCCAGCCTGAAGACGCCAGAGGCCTCCGCTCTTCTGAGCTGCATATGTAGAGGAGTGAATCTTGTCTCCTTTGTATGAGGCTACTGCAGTCTGCATCACCATGTCTTCCAACCCTTCCAGACTCTCTGCTTTAGGTCAGTACGATCAGTTTGTGACGTGCATCATTTCAACACTAGAACAGACTGTCTTCAACTAGTATTAGGTGAAATACTTCTCTCTCCATCCTTCATAAAGTCACAAACTCCTTCCTGACAACTCTTCCGAAGGCCAGGATCATGGAGACAGTTCTGGAAAGAAGGCATGTCCCAAGAGCAGAAAGTGGTGGAGAAGCCCAGCACTGAAGACAGTCACACTAGCAAACTGACACCTATCCAGTTCAGAGATGCCGAGAAGCTAATACAGCAAACAGTTTGGTTTTCTTGAGGCACACAGTTTCCCCTGAGCTTTCAGACAGCAGAAGCATGCTCACCTTGGAGAGTAGTGTTGAGGCTCTCATCCTAGTTTCTTCCATCCCACCAATGTCAGCTGGGCTGATGTTCTCAAGTAGCTTGGTTAGCAGAGGGAACAGCACCTGTTGGATCAGACACGTTGATATTTCAGAGCTGAAAAATGACTGATGAGATCTGCATAGACAGCCTTACAGAAAGGAGCTGTTTTTTGCGACTGGTGGCTTTTACACAGAGAACATGGGAGAAGCAATGGGAAGTGCAATGAGTGGATTCATTTCAATATGAAATGAATCAGAGGCTCTGTCAGAAGCCTAAACAGAGAGGAACTTTTCACAGGATCAGAGGAGGGAACGCCTTGTCTGTTGTGGTGAACAAGCTGCTCAAGAAGACAGTGCTGAAGTAGGACATCATTCTGCCATTCCTGCACACAGCTTTAGTCTTCATGACAGTGCTGTTCTGCCTACATGCCCAGCCCAGCCAGGAGGTTACCTTGTTGAAGCAGGATTCCCATTCCAGGGCATCCAGGGCCTGCAGGTCATGTACCAGGAGGGCCCGCTGCAAGTAAGTGAGTGCCTGCATCCGTACCTGGCGTCGGGCATCACAGCACAGCCAAGCAATACCTGCAAGAGAGGGATTCAGTGCAAAGTCCACAGGGAAAGCGTCACATCCCCACTTCACCGGTCTAGGGTGAAAAGTCTAATGAAGGTCAAACACTCTCTGGGGAAAAAAATAGGAAAAAAAAAAACCCAAACGAAAAAGAATTATACCTGTTCCAGACCAAAGACTGGGAATCTACTGTCAGGTCCAGAAGCAAGCTGGCAGCTAACTCTTGCTAAAGATACCTTTTGGGATCTGAGCCAAGTTCTTTTTCAGTTACAGCAGACCCTAAAAACAACCTCCGCCTGTTCTCTGCAGTTAGTTCTAGGCTCCTCAACTTTCCTGAATGCTGCCATTATTTTGGAAGCGTCTCTGCTCAGTTTCATTGCAAGGGGATAGCTTTACCCTGTAGCAAAGGACACCAGCAGTTGGACCACAGTGTGCGGGAATCTGCTTCGATTTTCCTCCCTGCTGTCTCTAGATGGCGTTGCTCCTCTGCCCAGGAGCTGTAGATGGTGGCCGCTCGCGTGTGCAAGGTGTGCATGAGGTCCAGGAGCTGCAAGTCAAGCACCACATTAAGCAACACACAGGACTTAAATTTTTGAAGCAACCCTGGTCTCTACTCTTCCCCAAACCAATGCTAAAAGGCTCACAGCTACTCAAGCCTGCTTCCTGTAGGTACATAACCAAGTATAGCTATGGAGATGGCGTCAGGCCCTGCTGTCTGTGCAAGTGCCAGGCATCTTCAGCAAGATTTGTGTCAGTTCAGTAGCCATGTCAATCCCATCTTTGAGGAACAGCATCCCAACCCTGCCAGGTGAAAGAATGAAGCCTTTCCTGGCACGGAGTACTGACTCTCCCAGGCAGAGGGAGCAACTCAGCGATTCAGGTATGCTGTCCAGGGACAACTCTGCAACTTTTTTTTTTTTCTTTTTAAATAAGAAGACCAAAAAAGAAGAGAAGCAAGCACGAGCAAAATTCCCTCAGAACAGCTCTGTATGGGCAAATGACAGCATTCTAGTCCCTTTACTACAGCACTGCGGCCCAACAGCCTGGCAGTCAGCAGGCCTGTGCCTTCACACCTTTGAAGTACCAGCTGGAGACAGAAA